GATGTGGCTGTGTCCCTGTAGTATGCTGTTTTTAGGTCTTTTGGGTATAGTCCGAGAAGAGGAATAGCTGGGTCAAATGGTGGTTCTATTCCCAGCCTTCCAAGAAACCTCCATATTGCTTTCCAAATTGGCTGCACCAATTTGCAGTCCTACCAACAATGTATGAGTGTTCCTTTTTCCCTGCATCCTCACCAAAAACTATTTTTATTCCTTTCACTGTTTATTTACTTTCCTTTTTTCTGTTTTACTCTAGATATTTACTCATCTTTCTTTCAGTTTACTATCCAAATATCCTTGTTCAAAATGAGTGTTCAATTTCACTGAATTTTGAATTCTAGGTATTATAATTTTCACGACTAGAATTTCATTTGATTATTTTTATAGATACAATTATATCATGAAGTTCTTCATTATTTCACCTTTTTCTTCTTCCTAAACAAATTGCCATAGTTGTCTTAAAGTCCTTCTTCTAACCTGAATTACCTTTTTCTTCTAACTTGAATTATGTATTGTCTATGGAAAAGACAGGACCATAGAGATTGAAAACCCCAAAGAGAAAACATTCCATAGACAATACATAATCCTCCTTAGTGATGTTATACTCCACCAAAAAGGATTTATCCTTTCCTGCCAGATAATAGATTAAAACAGCTGATCACTTTATACTAATGACCAACTGAGTTAAAATTAAGCTATGCTCTCTATGGCAATTTTGTTAAAATTAAGTATTAACTTTGGCCTTCCTGTATTTCTAATTATGTCCCTTCAGTGCTTTCGATAGAGCTTATTGAGTACTTTTCTCCTCAGAAGTAAGAGATTGGGATTTTTTAAAATGTATTTCAAAAATTATAAACTGAGGTCTTCATCTAATCATTCAGACAGCATCAAGAATCTGGTAAATATCAAGAACAGAAAATTAGCCATGAAATATCCAGTTTTGTCATTTTAGCACCATACTTTGCTTTCTCTGATTCCACCAAGAGCCTATCTGGATTTTCAGTGTCCAACTACACCCTAAACAACAAGTAACTCTAGGGAAAAAAAAGCTCTTGAATATTAGTGTAAATTCACTAGAAACAGAATAAACTTAAAAAGGGATATTAAAAAATATTTACGTTAATTAACATCTATTTTTAACAGGAAGACCATCAGGGTCTACCAAGAGAGGCAACATTACTGCAAAATGGTTATTCCGCCATTAGTAAAATTTTATTAATTTAAAATGAAAATAAAACTGATAAAATTCAAATGATATTAAAAATAGGATCATATTATCTCAATAGCAAATGCAATGACAAAGATAATAAAAGTGGAAGATGATGATAAATAATATCCAAAGTAACCACCCTTTACTGAATATTTATGATGCTCCAGTACTATGTAAGGCATTTTAGACAAATTAGAATTAATATAGGTAAAGTACCTAGATTACACTCTTACTAATTAGAAACTTTACATGAGTTCTACCTGCTGTTACTACTATTATTATTATTTATAGCATTTAATTATTATTACTTATAGTATTTAATCATCACAACAATTTTTTAAGGTTGAAAACCTTAACTTTTATTTTACCTATGAAGAAAGCAGGTCCAAGACAAGCTAAGTAATTTGCCTAAGGTCATAAAGCTAGTAGGGCACAGAGCAAAAAAATAAAACCTGATATGTATATCCTAAAATCTGTCCTCTTGGTTTTAGTTGGGTCATGTTAAGGAG